CCACCAAAGCAATTGTTGCTGAAATTAGGGATAGGAAGTTTGTTGTTCTTGTTGATGAGGCACGGGATGCATCAATCAAGGAACAAATGGCTGTTGTATTGAGGTAATGAGATCTGTATTTTGTTGTTGTTGTTGATTTCTTGTTTAAACTCATTGCTGATTTTGTTGCTCTATGTGACTGTAGGTTTGTCGATGCACAAGGACAAGTTATTGAGAAGTTCCTTGGTATGAAGTCTGCTGCTGATACAACTTCATCATCTCTGAAGGAAGCATTGGATGATATGTTTGCTTGTCATGGTTTGTCTATGTCTAGAGTCCATGGGCAAGGGTATGATGGGGCATCTAATATGAGAGGACAATTTCACGGGCTACAAAGATGGATACTAGACGAGAATCCATATGCTTTTTATATACATTGCTTTGCACATCAATTGCAATTAGTGCTTGTCTCAGTAGCACAGTGTCGTGGTTCAGTATTTGATTTCTTTAACATCACCTCTTTGATTGTCAACACTGTCAATGTTTCTTGTAAGAGAAGAGATCAGTTGGCCCAAAACCACCATGACAACATTGTAAATCAATTGAAAAATTGTCAAATTTTTAGTGGTAGAGGGAAAAATCAAGAAACTAGCCTTGCAAGGGCATGTGATACAAGATGGGGTTCTCATCACAAAACCTTGTGTCGCCTTTTCCATATGTGGGATTCAGTCTTAGAGGTATTAGAAAATGTTGCTGAAGATGGTGTTGGAGATAAGAGAACAACAGCTTCAGGCTTGCTGTTACAAATGGAGAATTTTGAGTTTGTGTTTATATTGCATCTTAAGATCAGATTATTGGGCATAACAAATGATTTATCACAATGCTTGCAAAGAAAAGATCAGAATATTGTTCGGGCTGTTGGGTTGGTTGGGATCACATTGCATAAAATTAATGATGTAAGGCAGCATGGTTAGGATGAGTTGTTTGAGGAGGTAACGGAGTTCTGTGCAATCCATCACATCATTGTCCCAAATATGGAGGAGAATGTAATTGTTCGAGGTCGTTCAAGGGGCCGTGGAGGGCAGCAGGATGTAAGGTCGAGATGGCGACTAGAGGGGGGGTGAATAGTCCTTTCTAAAACTTAATCGTGCCGGCTAATCGAAACAAGTGCAGAATTAAAACTATCGGTCTAGCCAAGATTACACCCCTCTATCTAAGTTCTCTAGCACCTTGCAAAGATCCTAATTAAGCAACTAAGGTGCCGGACTAGCTAGAGCTCACCTATCCAATTCTAGGAGCAAGGTCACACAAACCTATGCCATTAGTATTTTAAGCAACGAGGAAGTTCCTACACATGCTAGTAAGTAAAAGACAAAGCCACCTAAGCTCACTAGCAATGCTCAATAATAAGGCAACCAATGCTAAATTAGAGAGCACAAATACTTAGCTACACAAACTAAGCAATATGACTAACAAGGTTACACAAACCAAATTAGCCACACAAGGGAGCTACTTCTGTGCTACACAAGCAAGAAGGTAACTAGTGAGCTACACAAGCTAACTAATTACAAGAGCAACTATACAAACATAATGTATATGAAAGTAATTACAAACTTGTGTAAGGGGATTGCAAACCAACGGGAAGAATAATGTTGACATGGTGATTTTTTTCCCGAGGTTCACGTGCTTGCCAACACGCTACGTCCCTGTTGAGACAAGCTCCAAGGTTGCCGCTGATCCTCTTGCTAGTGGTGACCCGCAAGTCACACTCTCCCACATGGAGTGCTTACCACAAGCTCTAGCACTTGACCCGGCCAAACCACTTGTCGCCCTTCGCGTCTCGCTCTACTAGAGTTGCTCTTCGTGGCTCCCGCGGGGCGAGCACAATGCCCTTCACAAAGCTCTTCTTTGGAGCACCAAACAAGCTTCTTGTGGGCTTCGATGGAGACCACCACCAAGCCATCTAGGAGGTGGCAACCTCCAAGAGTAACAAGCACCACCGGCTTGCAAGACGACCACCTAGTGCCACTCGATGCAACCTCACGATGAAATCGCACTAGAATCGCTCACTCACTCAATCGGATGAACACTATCAAGCTAGAGTGAGTTAGAGGGCTCCCAAGCACCACCACATAAGCCACTAAGGCTCTAGTGTACTAAGCTTATGGCCAAAGGCTGACCAATATTTTTATTTATAGCCCCCATGAAAATAGAGCCGTTGTACCCCTTCACTGGGCACTGCTCGGGGCGACCGAACGCGTCGGTCAGATCGATCGAACGCACCCGGTCTAGCGTTCGATGAACGGATGCACGCCACGCGTCGCCTCCGTTCAACCTCAATCGCTTGATCTCAACGGTCGGATGCCACGCGCCAATGGTCAAGTGATGACCGGACGCAGCACAGCGCCAAGACCGGACGCGCCATTGTCTGAGTCCGGTCGTTTCCAGAGAGCTCTCTGAGCCTCTGTTTTGCGACCGGACGCGTCCACTCCTGCACGACCGGACGCAGACCAGCCAGAGTCCGATCATTTCCAGAGAGCTCCCCGAGCCTCTGTTTTGTGACCGGACGCGTCCGGTGCTGCACGACCGGACACAGACCAGCGTCCGATCAGTTCTGCGCCCGCGCACCAACTCCAGCGTCGCCTACGTCACCATACGTCACACCCGACTGGACGCAGGCCCTGTGTGTCCGATCACCTTTACTGTGCAGCGTCCGGTCACTTGACCAAAACCGCACCCAACTGCTATCACAGAACGGATGCGCTGGTCCTGCCGAGGCCAGCGTCCGGTCACTCACAGTGACCTCCTTTCGCCTCTATTTCTTCACCGAGTTGATCTGTTTCAACTTGAACTCCTCCTTTGCAAATGTGCCAATACCACCAAGTGTACACCACCATGTGTATGTGTGTTAGCTTTTCACAAAAATTTTCCAAAGGATTAATCACTCAACTTGCCACACCACTCGATCCTAGCGACGATGCAAAGTTAGATCTCTCGAGTGGCACTTGATGATCGATATGCAAACAAGTTTTGCCTCTCTTGATAGTATGGTCATCTATCCTAAACTCAGTCATAAACTTCTCTACTCACCTATGACCGGTGAAATGAAATGTCCTAGGTTATACCTTTGCCTTGCGCATTCCATTCCATCTCCTCCATTGTTGATGCAACACATGCACCAACCAATCACCAAATGATATGATCCACTTCATATCATCACATGACCGTATTGGTTCATCGATCTTGACTTCACTTGCTTTTCATCGTTGCTTTCGTCCATCGGTGCCAAGTCTTGCTCAAGCTTCACCGCCACGTGGTCCATCACTCCAAAGCCTTCGACTTGCCCTTCACGCTTGCAACCAGTCCATCAAATCAAGTCATGTCTTGATCTTCTCCACCTTGATCACATGACTCTATATCATGTCTCATGTGCAATAAGCTCCTTCATCATCACATGTGTGAGCTTTGCAACATCTTTGAGCCATCATCACCGTCATGGCATATGCTGCTCACACACATGTACCTGTGGACTAATCACATGTGTATCTTACTTGAACACATTAGTCCACCTAAGGTTGTCACTCAATTACCAAAATCAAACAAGGACCTTTCACCGGTAACCTACTACCATCACTTCAAAAATGAGATCTTCAATATGACGCATGACCAAGTTATTGTTGAATTAAATAATCGATTTGCTGAAAGGTCTACCCAATTATTGAGATGCATTGCATGTTTAGATCCATGGAATTTCTTTGCCAACTATGACCGTGAGAAACTAATTGAACTTGCTCAGATTTATGATGATGATTTCTCCCAATATGATCATGATCGGCTTCCGCAACAACTTGATAACTTCATTAGTGATGTGAGAGCTGATCCTTCCTTTGCAAATTGTACCGACCTTGGAGAACTTGCTATAAAGATGGTTCAAACTGAAAGGCACACAACCTTTCCATTGGTTTATCGCCTCATTGAGTTGGCCTTGATTTTATCTGTTGCAACCGCCACAGTAGAAAGGATTTTCTCAGCTATGAAGATTGTCAAAACTGAGTCTCGAAATAAAATGGCGGATGAGTGGTTGAATCATAGGATGTATGTTATGTTGAGCGAGCTGTGTTTGCAACCATCCAAAATGATGACATCTTACGGCATTTTCAAGAATTGAAGACCCGAAAGAAGAAGTTACCTAGTATCTTACATAAGTTGCTCCTTTTCTTATTAACCTTTACTTGCTTATTTTCTTATTAACCTTTTTGCTGGCTCTTTTTCTTATTAGGAGTTATTATTGAGGACAAGGAAGTGGACGTCGCGAATGCACCAAATCAGGGACGTCACTAGACACTAGGTTTTTTTTTTAATGTTCCATGATATTTCTTAGCTATTAATTGTATAGTTGAAGAACTTTTCTTGCAAACTTTGCTTGAGAATAATATATATATATATATATATATATATATATATATATATATATAGAACTACTACCATGTAGCTCGCTACAAAATAACTTATTATGTAGCCACTTTGAGTTACGATAATTACTATGTTAATTTACGAGATTATAGTAACTCCTTACTAAGTGGTTTACTATAACGTTATGGTAAATATCCCCATGTGTTATAGTAACCCAACTATCGTAAATATGTATTGACATTATCGTAAATTAATATATAAAATTATCGTAAATAGAGGTGGCTATAGAATAACTCCATATATGCTGTAGCTTTGGGTTTTTAGCCGCTAAGATTTGGCCCTAGTCTTCCTGGGGCTGACACTGCTTGGGGGCATCCTATTCGGATGGATTTGGGTAATTGCGATGTCTTCCAGTATTTACCAAAAAGCTCGCACGACACAGGCAAAATCGAAGGCACCAGTATTTATAGCGTCACACATCCATGTTACGCTGTTCTTCCTCTTATTCCATCACCAATATACCTCACCTTGTAGGCTTGTACGCACAAACTGCACACGACACGAACCTGCGAATGGGCGCGGCGTGATCTGTGCCTGGCAAGCGCAGCTCACCGCTCACTGCCCACAGGAGAGGAAAAGAATTGAAGCGCAGCAACGGTGTCATGCGAATCGCCGAATCGGTGCTGCCGCCGCTTCATCATCGTGTAATCTTGGATCACGGCACCAAGCGCGAGATTCGGTGCCAGCTCCCGGTGCGCGAGCGGCTGCCCGGTCACGGGGGACGCGTCGTTCCCTCCGTCCAGCCAGCCTCTGATGGCGTCGCCCTCGTAGGTGAACCCGTCTGCCGCGACGTGGGGATCCCTCATGGGCTCCTGCAAGAATCAACTCGCGGGAAACATGTTCACAGAATTGCTGTGTGATAGAAAAACATTGTTGTTAACTGAAAAGTACTTGCTGAACAGGGCGTAAACCGTCTTGCAGAGCGCCACGCACTATGGCACTGTGCTCAGAGGAGGATGCATGGACCCACCTGAAGGATCGGGCAGAGGAAGTAGGATGGGACGCAGACTTCGTCGTAGGGCGACTGAATGACGGACGACGGCGAGAACGCGGCCAGCTTGCTCTGGTTGAGCGGCGCTTCCACCTCCAGCTCCAGGTCCCTTTCACCGGTGCCCAGATCGATTTGTATCTGGACATGCTCCTTCTGCTGTTGCTCAGTTGCTTGACCGGCGGCTGTCCCAAAAACGGCATCCATGTTGAAGATGTGGCCTTCCAGGGACGATCTCTCTGACATTGCCTCTTGGAGTTTGTCTGTTGCTGTGTTTTGCTCATCCAGGGGTACCTGGTTTGCTTGCCTTAACCGCGCGATCTCTCGGTGTGCTCTTGCAAGAGCTCCTTCAAGCTCTTCACGCTTTCTCGCCTCCTCTAAGAACAATTCCTGGTATTCCTTTGCCTGCAAGGTTCAGAGTTCTCATCAAAATCTAAAATATATACAGCTAGAATGTTTTACTCGTTTAATAAGTTTGTAAGATTCTTTGTTTCTCAAGGGGCAAGGAATTGTACTTTCTGAAGAGCAGAGGCCACTTCTCCGTCTGCCTTTTGGCGCCTGGAAGATTCGCTTAGGGCTCTCTTCATCAAGTTCTCAGCTGCTATGCATGCCTCTTTGAGCTCATCGTAAAACCCCAACTCCGACTTAACGTCGTCCTACATAACAGTAATGGAAAAAAAAACAAAAATATAAGCTTGCCATAATCATTAGAATCAGGAGATCCCATTAGATACTCTGCCACACCTCTTTCTGGTAAGGTACTAACTGCAGAGCTTGGTGATCAAAATCAGGGAGAAAAGGCGTGGCTGATGGTGCAATCTCCTCTTCCTCACCCCTATCATAGAAAAGTCGATCAGAAATTTGTGACCCCCACTGTTCATTAGCTACCAGAAATCCAAACGTTACAACTCAGGCTGTACCTGGTACAGATGAGTTGTCCCTTGCAAACACACCAAATCTTGCATGATGGATCAGCTCTCTGCATAATTTCTGTTGCTATCTTACATTTAGGTTTGTCCATTTTTCTGAAACCAAAGTTGACGAATGTACTTTTGATACATGATGGATTTATAATTTCCTAAGTTTACCAGATACAGAACTCAAATTTGGGAAAAAAAAAGGATTTTCTTATGTCAGATTCACCTTGAATATTGCCTGTCTGCAGCACCTGAAATAACTAGCTTAGTGACTTTATGCAAGACAATGAGTTCAACCAGACCGGCTACAACGTCTTCCTTCTCAAAAACGAGTTTCTCACATTTGACCTGAATTTGCAAAACATGGGGACCTATCAGTCATCCTGTTCAGTTTGAAACTTGATGCTAACTTTTAAATTATGAACTGCATGCCAAAACCATATGAAGAAGGTAAATGTAAAATATACGAGTGTACGACACACCAACACAGTGGTCATGAAACATGGGGAAGAACCAAAATAGCACCTTCATTTTTGAACATTGATGAACATAGCCGTCTAGCTGTCTGTCCACCTTCTCATACTCGATCCTTCTGAACAGTTTCACTTGCTCCGGACTCAGTTTACTAGAGTGGAATTTAACTCCCACTGCATATAGAAAGATAGAATTAATAAAATCATCTAACCACAGCAGGCACAAGCAGAACTAATATCCTATCCACAGCAGGCACGGGTAGAATTTGCATGTCCTGGAAAAGAAATCACAGAGTTTCCTTCTCCTCAAGGCAAGGTAATATTATTGTTCGCAGTCCACAGGAAGAGAGTGGATTATGGTTAGGCTAACATTCATTTTACAGTCACATGAAGTAACAATCCAATATTCACCACAGTTAGTACATGTCCTATTTAATCTGATATAAATATAGAGTATTAGTCCGATTGGACAATCACCTTATTGAAAGTTTGAAACACGAGAAACAAGCAAACTACAGGAAACGTTGCCCAGGAGAATTCCAGTGGCCGGAATCATGTGGCCGGTCACAATACATCATGATCAATTCATGTGGCCGCTGGCCTCGAATTCCCGTGGCCAGAATCATCGAACTACCAAGAGCAATAGAACGAGAGGTAAAAGCATACTATAAGATCAAGAAACACGTACTCACTGGAATCATCTGTGGCGGGACATGCACATGTGTGATCACAACCGTGGTTCTGCTGCCGCCGAAATGATCGAGAACCCATGACAGCGTGGACTGCCCCACCTTGAACTCTGCCGGCAGCACGACGAACACCTTCTCCATCGCTGCCGCCAACTTCTTCGCAGAGTTCGCCGTGAAGCCTAGGTTTAAAAGAGCTCCTTGTCTGGTGGCAAGTGGCATAAGAAACACGCAGACGTTGGACTAGTATAACATACAAGAGACTTTGAACGCGGGACAGTGACACCGTGCGAGGAGGAAGCCAATGGCACGCGACAGAGACATACAGAGACAAGGAGGAAGTTCCCAGGCTACCTGCAGTTCTTAACTCAGTGTGAGCACTTGTCACATCAGACAAAATTTCTGCTTGTTTCATAATGCCTTGTAAAGTTGACTGACTCATCAGTCATCTATGCAATATTTTGCTGGTTAAGTTTCAACTGAGGCCTGGCTTAGTTCTAAAAAATTTTCACCCTAAACTATCACATCAAATCTTGCAGCACATGTATGGAGTATTAAATATAGATGAAAAAAAACTAATTGCACAGTTTGGTTGGAAATCGCGAGACGAATGTTTTAAGACTAATTAGTCCATATTAGCCATAAGTGCTACAGTAACTAACATGCGCTAATGATGGATTAATTATGCTTAATAAATTCGTCTCGCAGTTTCCAGACGAGCTATGTAATTAGTTTTTTTTATTAGTATCCGAAAACCTCTTCCGACATTCCCGAAATATCCGATGTGACGTCAAAAAATTTTATTTCGTGAACTAAACACAGCCTGATTAGGAGTAACATCACCGAAGAAAACTGAAAGACGGACATGTTGGAATATCTAGTATTAAAATATTGAATTACACATATTAAATTATTAAAGTAGAATATCATAATTTCGATCTTGTATAGTGTTTAACATCTGGGGCAGATTTGGCTGCTCATATACTGCTCATAGGCCATGCCATCCTCCCGATCAGTGTGCCTAACATTAGTCAAAACAGCAATGTCATAATCTATCTCACTGCCCACACCAGGGGTGTGTTTGGTTGCCCGCATAAGAGCAAACCAGGCTCCCGGGATGCAGCCTGCTCATGTTTGGTTCCCTGACCACCCTCCCGAGCCAGGCTCCGCTCGTGCAAAAGCCCCCTCCTGGCCTGGCTCACGAGGAACGTCCAAATCGGCCGTTTTTCTTCAGCCTGGCTCGCTCCGTGCTCCCGCGAGCTCGTGCGCCTGGCGATTCCGTGCGCGGGGAGATGGCGCGAAGATCCTAGGGTTACCTCCCCTGTTCCCGCCATTCACTGTCTCTATATCTTCCCTCCCGCTGCCTCCCTCTCTTCTTCTTCTTGTCGCTCTCCGTCTGCGCCGCCGGTAAGCTCCACCTCCTCTTCCTCCTCCCCCGGTGTTCTTGATGGATTCGTGGCCTCCTAATGTCTACCCTCTCTCTCGATTTGTTGTAGGTGCCGTGGATTTGCGTCCTCTCGAAGCAAGTGAGTTTTTCCCCTTCTCTTTCTCTATTTTTTCTGTGCGATTTGAAACCCTAGGTCATCATTGTTTGTTGATCTCGCTGCAGGCACACCAGATCTGATTTCTTTATTGCGGTATGGATCCTTGTTCTTAGTCTCATTTTTTTCTCTTGTTTTTTTCAAGTAAAAATCCTATTTTGTGTATGCTAATCCTCTTTTCTTTGCTTGTGTGCTTGCAGATCTGAGCTCCCTCACCTGCTGGGTTGGGCTTTTGCTGGTGTTGCTGCTTGTTGACGTGGGTATTTTGTATATCTACTCTCCCTCTCGCCTCCCCCCTAATCTGTACCGTGCGATAGTGAGTCCTGCGTTCTTAGATTCAGATGCATGTCCTACTTTGTGAGATTATGAGCAAGTATATGAAGTTGCCATTTTGTCTGAGCTATTGTCCAAGTCTGTGATGATTCCTTTTGTCCTGAGCTATTGCCTTAGTCTATGATGATACCTTTTTCTGAGCTATTGCCCTAGTCTGTGATGATGAAAGTCTTATTTTTAGCATGTTCTAGTATATGATGAATCCTTTTTCTGAGCTTTTGTCCAAGTCCATGATGATGACATTGTCATTCTGAGCATTTGTCCTTAAATTCCATTCATCATATACTAGAAGTAACTGTATAATTTGAGGCACTCTAGTTTGAGAGTAACTGTAGAAAGGGCATTTGGGGCTCTGAAGAACCGTTTTCGCATCATTGACACCAACAAACCATTCCATCGCTTGAGGACACAAATCAAGCTTGTGATTGCCTGTAATTCATTTTATTCATGGACAAATGCTGTTTTTTTCCTGTGATTCTTCACTTGATCTGAGACTTTGGGCAATAGCAATGATGTTTTTTTCTGTGATACTACACTTGATCTGAGACTTTGGGCATGTGCAATGATGATAAATTTTTTATGATACTACACTTAAGCTGAGGCTTTAGGCATGTGCAATGATGATAAATTTTCTGTGATACTACACTTATGCTGAGGCTTTGGGCATGTGCAATGATAATAAATTTTCTGTGATACTACACTTATGCTGAGGCTTTGGGCATGTGCAATGATGTTTTTTTCTTGACATAATACACCTATGCTGAGGCTTTGAGCATGTGCAATGATGAATTAGGCTATGGCTGAGGAGATGATGCCTGCTAATGAGCTTGTGTTCCCTACCGAGGAGATGATCTGATCCTGCATAGCTTACTTACTAACATAGTGTCTTAGATAACCCTACACCTACAACCTAGATCAACCTAGTGGTGGCAATCTGACCATGAGTCTATTGCCAATGATGTGAACCTTGTGGTTCTGAACTTGATATGGGCACCAGCCTGTGTCTGTGATTTGCACAATTTCATTCTGAGCACTTGCCTTATTGACTGTGATGTTTGTTTTCTTATATCTGAGCATATGTCCATTGCCTGTGATGCTTTATGACTGAACTAAGCACTTGTCCATTGCCTGTGATATTTTTGGATTGATCTGAGCACATGTTCATTGCCTGTGATGTTTTTTGATTGATCTGAGCACATGCCCATTGCCTATGATGTTATTTTGATTAATATGAGCACATGTCCATTGCATGTGATGTTTTTTTGATTGATCTGAGAACATATTCAGCTATGGCTTGGTATGTTGTTCATGTTGGGAAGGAGCCTGGGGTCTATTCCTGCTGGGCCAAAACACATGCTCAAGTAGATGGTTTCAAGGGAAACTGCTAAAAATACAAAACAAGAAATGAAGCTTTGCTAGCTTTCTATGGTGATCAACCAAAAAATCCACCTCTCCTCCAACCTGTCAGTGCACCTCTACTAGAAAATGATGGAAATAACAACTTTCGCTTGTGCCAAAGTTCATTTATACTTGTAATAGCAGTAGTTATTGCCTTGCTAGTAGGTTTTTTCATTTGGAAATTGATGTAATATCTGATGTCAACTAGTGGGTGGTAATGTTACCACTACATGCAAGAGTTGACTAGAACTTGTTGTATGCAGCCAACCAAACAATGATCCATGCATGGGCTTTTTAAATCTGCAAACACATGCATGCAACCAAACACTGTCTCAGCCCAGCCTGGTTCCACAGATGCATGCAACCAAACAACCCATGTTGCATGCATCTGGCCTGGGCAAATGCAGCTTGGCTACCTGGAGCTAGCCTGGCTGGGCTGGGAAGGGTACCAAACACGCCCCAGATGGAGGCATCCCATCAGTGGCTGTCTCCAACACAACTGCCTCAGTGCCATTGTGTAACATTGTCACCGTCAGCTTCTGTGCAGCAATGGGGTCACTAGATGCATCAGGGCGTGCATCAAGCTTGTTGCTGCCAGAGGCATAGGCCCCAAGAACGCCCACCAAGCCAGTCCTCACCCCCATGGCCTCATACATTACTTTGACGAGGTGAGTTGTGGTAGTTACGCCGTCTGTGCCAGTGACACCTATGACAGCCATGTCCGTCGACGGCCCTTTACAGTAGAGGCGGTGGAACACCTGAGCGCTGCCAAAATGTCGCCCACAATGACTAGCGCGCTGGCGCAGGTGGTGCCCTCGATGTTGAGGTCCCGATCGCTCACGACAAAGAACAGCCCCATGCTTGTCGGCCTCGGTGAGCCCCGCATGAGCCCGCCCTCTCCACGCACACACAAAGAGGTCGCCCGCCGCCACCAGTGGCGGCTACCGCACCCCTACGAAGCGCGACATCCCGGTCACCCGTCACGGCCACCGGGACGAGCTTGCTCTCGTCAAGGAGTTCAGCCAAAGATCATATGGAAGGTGATTGCCGTATCCTAGCCCCCTCGAGGCCGAGCTCCTCGGCCACATCAAAGCCTTCCCCGTCCTCGTCGAGCGGCAATCCATTGTCTCCATCCTCGTCCTCGCCCCCCTCAACCTCCTCATCCTCCTCGTCCGCCACGGATACAACGCTGAGTCCCTGAAGCTTCCGAATCTCATCGAGATCGATCACCTCCTCAGGGGAGAGCTCATCGGCGAGGTCCTCGTCCTCCGGCTGCGATTGCGACGACGACGGCGGTGGTGAAGCAGAGGACGGCTTGATGAGTCCGCGCCGAGTGAACTCTCTCTTCTCCACGATGGCGCGGTCAATTTCATCGAAGAACTCGTCTTTAGGGTCGTAGCTGCCTCCGCCGCCGCCTCCGGCCGGGGAGGGGGACGACAAGAGCGGGTTGTCGGTGGTGATCTCCGGTTGGCGGCTCCAGGCACGCTCCACGCTGCGCGCAAGCTAGTCGTAGCGGGTGAGGCCATGGGAAGAGTCCTCCGCGGCCTCAGGAGGTTCATCGTCGACGGTGGGCGGGCGGAACCGTCGTCTTGGCGTGGCGGGCAAGCAGGCGAGGGGAGGCGGCGGGGTTTGGGAGGGGCTAGGATTCTGGAAGGCGAAGGGCGGGAGGAGGGGAATGGGAAGGGGAGGCAGGAGGTGAGGGGCACCGTGGCCATGGGAGGCGCGCCGTAGCCTGGGAGGCTGGGAAGGTGTGGGAATTAGCGCTGCAGCCGCTGTTGGTGGGAGGTTTTGGTCGTTTTGGATCGAGCCTTTTACAAGTGTCCCACTAAAAAAGATGGCCGCGCTCTATCTGCCACTAAAATGTTCGAACAC